ACTCAATATAGGTATTTAGTTTCGGATAAGACTTGCTATATACGTTCCGGTTTATATAGGACTAACTATACTAAGCGTTTAAAATAAGGCTTATCCTACGCGTTCCGGATAGTACTGCTCGCTATAGGTATTCTATAGAGTACTCGCTATAGGCGTTTTATAAGGTACTCGTAGTAGGCGTTATATAGGGTACTCGCTATAAGTAGTTTGAATATAGGCGTTTTAGATAGTGTTTACTATAAGCGTTCCAGATAGTACTATTTGCTATAGATATCTCGGATAGTTACCGCTATAAGCGTTTCAAATATTGCTACTCGCTATAAGCGTTTTTAGTAGTATTTACTATAAGCGTTTCGGATATAACTTGCTATAAGTATTCTAAATAGTGCTTACTATTAGTATTTTAGATAGTACTACTTGCTATAAGCGTTCTTAATAGTACTTACTATTAGCGTTCCGAATTCGACTTACTATACGCGTTTCGGATAAGACTTAGTACAAGCGTTTCGGATTAGAATTACTATATAGCGCGTTCTAAATAAAAATTAGTATAGGCTATAAATAGTAGTACGCTATAGGCGTTTTATAGGGTCCTACACGTTCCGGATAGTACTACTCGCTATAGATATTCTATAGAGTGCTTACTATAGGCGTTTTATAAGATACTCGTAGTAGAGGTTATATAGGTTACTCGCTATAGGTAGTTCGAATATAGGCGTTTTCGATAGTATTTACTATAAGCGTTCCAGATAGTACTACTCGCTATAGATATTCTATAGGGTACTCGCTATAGGCGTTTAATAGGGTACTCGTAGGAGGCGTTATATAAGGTACTTGCTATAAATAGTGCGAATACTATTTAACTATAGGCGTTTTAGATAGTATTTACTATAAGCGTTCCAGATAGTACTACTCGCTATAAGCCTTCCGGATAGTACTTAATAAAAGCATTTAGTTTCGGATTAGACTTAGACTTACTTTATATATTCCGGATAAGAGTTTCTATAAGCGTTTTAGATTAGAATTACTATATAGCGCGTTCTAAATAAAACTTAGTATAGGCGTTGTAGACAGCAGTACGCTATAGATATTCTATAGAGTACTCGCTATAGGCGTTTTATAGGGTAATCGCTGTAAACAGTTCGAATACTATTTACTATAGGCACTTTAGATAGTATTTACTATAAGCGTTCCGGATAGTACTACTCGCTATAAGCCTTCCGGAATCCGGATAGTACTTAATATAAGTATTTAGTTCCGGATTACACTTAGACTTACTTTATATATTTAAGATAAGACTTTCTATAAGCGTTTTAGATTAGACTTACTATAAGCGTTCTGGATAGTACTATTTGCTATAGATATCTCGGATAGTTACCGCTATAAGCGTTTCAAATATTGCTACTCGCTATAAGCATTTTTAGTAGTATCTACTATAAGCGTTTCGGATACAACTTGCTATAAGTATTCTAAATAGTACTTACTATAGGTATTTTAGATAGTACTACTTGCTATAAGCCTAAGTGTTCTTAATAGTACTTACTATTAGCGTTCTAAATTAGACTTACTATACGCGTTCCGGATAGTACTTACTATACGCGTTTTGGATAGGACTTAGTATAAGCATTTCGGATTAGAATTGCTATATAGCGCGTTCTAAAGCGTTCCGGATAGTACTACTCGCTATAGATATTTCGGATAGTAACCGCTATAAGCGTTTCGAATACTACTACTCGCTATAAGCGTTTTTAGTAGTATTTACTATAAGCGTTTCGGATATAACTTGCTATAAGTACTCTAAATAGTACTTACTATAGGTATTTTAGATAGTAGTACGCTATAGATATTCTATAGAGTACTCGCTATAGGCGTTTTATAGGGTACTCGTAGTAGGCGCTATACAGGGTACTTGCTATAAATAGTTCGTAGTAGTTAATATAAGTATTTAGTTTTAGATTAGACTTAGACTTACTTTATATATTCCGGATAAGATTTTCTATAAGCGTTTTGGATTAGACTTAGTATACGCGTTCCGGTTTATATAGGACTAACTATACTAAGCGTTTAAAATAAGGCTTATCCTACGCGTTCCGGATAGTACTACTCGCTATAGGTATACTATAGAGGACTCGCTATAGGCGTTTTATAGAGTACTCGTAGTAGGCATTATATAGGGTACTCGCTATAAACAGTTCGAATGCTATTTAGGATAGTTTAACTATAGGCGTTTTAGATAGTATTTGCTATAAGCGTTGCGTTGCTATAGGCCTTCCGGATAGTACTTAATAAAAGCATTTCGTTTCGAATTAGACTTAGACTTACTTTTTATATTCCGGATAAGACTTTCTATAAGCGTTTCGGATCAGACTTGCTATATACGTTCCGATTTATGTGGGACTAACTACACTAAGCGTTTAAAATAAGGCTTATCCTACGCGTTCCGGATAGTACTACTCGCTATAGATGTTCTATAGAGCACTCGCTAAGCTTTTAGAATAGGGCTTGTCCTACGCGTTCCGGATAGTACTACTCGCTATAGGTATTCTATAGGGTACTTGCTATAAGCAGTTCGAATACTATTTGCTATAGGCGTTTTATACGCGTTCCGGATAAGACTTAGTATAAGCGTTTCGTATTAGAATTGCTATATAGCGCGTTCTAAATAGGGCATAGTATAGGCGTTATAGATAGTAGTATGCTATAGATAACCTATAGCGTACCCGCTATATGCGTTTTATAAGGTACTCGTAGTAGGCGTTATATAGGTTACTAGCTATAGGTAGTTCGAATATAGGCGTTTTAGATAGTATTTACTATAGGCGTTCCGGATAGTACTACTCGCTATAGGTATTCTGTTGTTTCTATAGAGTAATCGCTATAAGCGTTTTATTAGGTACTCGTAGTAGGCGTTATATAGGGTACTCGCTATAAGTAGTTCGAATACTATTTAACTATAGGCGTTTTAGATAGTATTTACTATAAGCGTTCCGGATAGTACTCCTCGCCACAGGCCTTTAGGATAGTGCTTAATATAGGTATTTAGTTTCTAATTAGACTTAGACTTACTTTATATATTCCGGATAAGACTTTCTATAGACGTTTCGGATTAGACTCGCTATACGCGTTCCGATTTGTATAGAACTAACTATACTAAGCGTTTAAAATAAGGCTTATCCTACGCGTTCCGGATAGTACTACTCGCTATAGATATTCTATAGAGTACTCGCTATAGGCGTTTTATAGGGTACTCGTAGTAGGCGTTATATAGGGTACTCGCTATAAACGTTTTTAGTAGTATTTACTATAACCGTTTCGGATATAACTTGCTATAAGTATTCTAAATAGTACTTACTACAGGCATTTCAGATAGCACCACTTACTACAAGCGTTCTTAACAGTACTTACTATTAGCGTTCCGAATTAGACTTTCTATACGCGTTCCGGATAGTACTTACTATACGCGTTCCGGATAGTACTTACTATACGCGTTCCGGATAGGACTTAGTATATACGTTTCGGATTAGAATTACTATATAGCGTGTTCTAAATAAAACTTAGTATAAGCGTTATAGATAGTAGTACTAACTATTAGCGCTCCCGATTAGAGTTACTATACGCGTTCTAAATAGTACTTAGTATTATAAGTATTCTAAATTAGAATTCCTATAAGTATTTTAGATTAAAATTACTTTAGGCGTTTTAGATTAGACTTACTATACGCCTTATAGATAGTACTTACTATAAGCGTTCCTACTTAGAAAGAACTATCTACTATAGATATTTCGAATAGTACTCGCTATAGGTATTCCGGATAGTAATTACTATAGGCGTATTCCGGAAGTAGTTACTTTAGATATTTTAGACTATCTTACTATAAGCGTTTCTAATAGTACTTACTATAAGCGTTTCTAAATAGTGTTTTCTAATACCTAAAGTTGTTGTTAGAAAGGCGCGCGATTTAAAAAGTGCGATTTGTAACGATTTCCGCCTTGTTACCTAGCGCAGTATAGTAACAGCCGCCGTAGAATCTTCTAGAATCTAGCTTACCCTACCCCGCTCGTCGCCTTAGCTTTTACTTATAGCTCTTCGGCCTTTACTTGTAGCTCTTCGAGCTACATAAACACTAGTATAAGACTGTTAAGATACGGTACTATAGCTTGTCCTATGCATTATTTAAGAAGCCGCTATATAGCACTTTATCTCCGTATTATCGTAGCTTCGTATAATTCTATCTATAAGACGCTAGAAATACCCCGGCGAAGATAATACGGTTCGCACTCTAGTCTTCGTTCGGCTTCTCGAATGCATATAAGACACCCTATAGTAGCTTCGTAGGGAGTTCGAGACCTATCCGTCGCTCGTTTATACCTATTTACTTTCTAATTACATCCTAAAGCACCTTCTCTACCCTTATAGATAAGGAGGTATCCGTCGTACTTGCCTTATCTAGATACTAGTAGGCCGAGAGATTGATCTAGAGCTTATTAGCCGCATGTGATCACGCCTCTTCTTCGTTCGTCGGATAGAATGAAGGAAATCTTTAGGCCGTGATCGCAATACTCACCATCTTCAGGCAACGTCTCATTTCCACTCCCACCATAACAAAAATTTCGCGATCCGATCACCCTTTTTTCCCATTCTAGGTGACTTCTTCTAACTAATAACTCCAGAAAAATCAAATTCGAGCGTAGAGCCTGGTTCGCCGAACATGTCGATCTGAAACGAGTGTTAATGTTCCAGAAGAACCATGTAGAATAGATAGAATCCGTGCTGTCTGTGGTGGGGTTGTGACGCAGAATACCTATGCTTCATACCTACGTAAGCTGCGCAGACATCCATGTGACATGTATTGGGAAAGGAACGAGCTCTGAGACTTCAGAATCAATGCTTGAGAATGCATCGGAAACGCACTGCTGACACGAAATCCAAAGACCTGAAAAAAAACCGGTAGCAATCTACCAGTCACGGATACGAGCTCGAGGAAAGAACGGAACCTTGATGGGCATGCCGATGATACTATGATGGGCCGTAGTCTTCGTATGCTATATCGGTCATGGCAATGCAACAGACGTGATCGCATTTCCACTTCCACTTCCATCCCACGATTACCGTGACCATTTGCGCCCGAAGATGGCTGAATTCAATCAAAGTCTTCTCGCCGACGCGCGCAGTCTTTTCCCAGCAAGCTCAATCTGCCTTCTTGATTCCCTCGTAATGCGCAGAACGCTTAAGATCGGCCTGGTGGTGGTCCCTTTGGCGCCTCATACACACCCGCCTCACCACGATATCCTCCTCCGTACGTGTTCGCCGGCTGTTGCAATTCCACATCGTTGCCCTGACGATACGCATTGTTCTGTCCACCGTAGTAGCCCTGGTTCGGCGGAGGAGTGTAGGCGGGCGGCGCAGGGTTATTGCTGTTGTTGTAATATGGCTGCTGGTTGCCATAATGCGGCTGTTGATTGTACTGTACTGGTCCGTGGCGACCTGCTGCCCAGCCTGTGCCTCGATATGGCGCATATCCCATCCTTCTTCGTCGGCGCGCGGAGATGCAGCTAAAAACGAGTCCATGTCAGATGGCGTGTTGCGGCATTTGTGGAGTGTTTGAGACGTGCTTACCTGAAAGTGAAGAAGAGCAGGAATGCGGCGACGATGATGAGGGCGAGGACGAGCCATCGTGCCCAGTTATCCCAGGCGCTGTTGTAGCATCGGACTTCGCCATCAGAGTACTGATAACATCTTGCCATGGTCAGCTTGGTTCGTAGAGGTGTTTGTGGTATGTAGGTGGCGGCGGCGGCGGTGCTATAGGAACGATCGCAACAGAGCCTGGCGTCAGGAACACGAGTGACAAGTCCAGGTTCACGAGGTCGCGAGGTTGAAGAATGGTGTGAGCACGAGAGCTGACGCCAGCTAGCGAAGAAGGCGCAGCAGAGCCAAGAGTCCAGGTCGTGGCAAGCTTGGCTTGGTATCGGGCGGCTGTGATGATTCTCTAGAATGATCTATGGAAGATAGACTTACTCTTCTCGTTTGAGCAAACTCTCCGTGCTCGCGGCGGTCACCATCGTGAATGCGTTTGCAAAAAGGCGTCTATGTTCGCGAGAGCATAAAAGAAGGGAGTGGGACAGGTGGTAGGCTTGAGGTGGAGGTGTAGATTGTAACGTTGCCTACGTAACGAGGCCGTTCGTCGAGAGCTTGGACTCACGCCGTTCTCATCCGCTTTTCGGTCGGTTCGGCCCGGCCCATCGGCAAGATCGTAAAGCTAGAAGCGAGATCCAACAACATCCATCTACAGTACAACATACAGATCGGAGCGCAAGATCAATTCTCATGCCATGTCCACCCGCCGACTACATCATAGCATCAACCTGCGCATCCTCAAGCCAATGTGACCCACCTGCACACCGATAGCCACCACTCTGCTTGATCCACTGGTATCCAACAGGACATCTCCCCGATCTTGCCAAAGCTTCCTGGGCCTTCTGTCTCCTGTGCTCTCTCTCCTCAGCCTCCTTCCTCTTCCTCTCCAACTCTTCCAATTCCTTCTGCCGCTTCGCATCCGCACAAGCTTTCAGCCATTCTCGGAGTTTGCGCTCCTCGTCCCGCAGTCGCTGGAGCTCAGCAGCTTCCTGCTCGGCCTTGAGTCGATCGAGTTGGAGTTGAGCCCAGACTTCGTCTTTGACACCGACATCGCGCTGCGCCAGAGCAGGTGACACATGTGGAAGGCTCCCTGAGCCCTCGCGGACGTCGCTTGGCGCAGCTTCTGGCTTTGTACGCTTCTGATCGGATTGCAATTGATTTTGCTGAGCACGTTTGGTCTGCGATCGCGTCTGCACTGATGTTTGAGATCTGCGGTCAGGTGCTTGCAGCTGCTGTACCGGGTTCGGAACATTAGGAGAGCCTGCTGCGTTCACAGCTCCAGCCTTGGCAGCAGAGTCATTTTCTCGTTGCATCCGCTCGTCCACCATGTCGTTCATTGCCTTTCGAACCTGCTCCGGTGCCACAGCCATAGCCTTTGAGCTTGGGTCAGCGCTCTTCAAGATGGCGCCGTAGATGGTCTTGGAAAGCGTTTGGACATCACGAGCGTTGGCGAAATTGGCAAGCGATGCCAATGTGTCAAATCGTGCCAAGATCTGTAATGCGTCAGCACGGTTACCTTCTTCCTCGTAGCTTATTCTCACCTCATCGCGGAATCCTGGCTGGATTTCTGTAAGCACGGACACATCGAGGCCTTTCTTCTTGGTCAAGGCCTTGATCAGTAGAGCAAGGCAGTCGGCCGGCTTGAGCGGAGTGAACACCACTGCTTCAGGAAATCGTGAAGTCAGGCCTGGGTTCATCGACATCAAACGATTGATGTCTGCATCGTAACCGGCAAGAATGATAATCAGCTTTTGAAAGTAGGCTTCTTTCGTCATGAGGTCAACGAGCTCGTCCATGGCTTCTTGTGCGAAATGTCCGCCGGCAAGTCGGTATGCCTCGTCAATAAACAAGACTTTGCCCAAGGCAGATTCGAGTAGTTTTCGTGTCTTGGGACCTGTCTGACCGACATACTGGCCCACCAAGTCTGACGCCGAGCAGTTGACAACTTCCGCGGATGCGAGGAACCCCATATCGTAGTACACCTTGCCCATACGTTGCGCAGTGGTGGTTTTACCCGTTCCAGGAGGCCCTCGAAAAAGGAAACTGAACGGAATCTGCTCGCGAGGATCTTGGCCGAGCTGCTTCATTTTGGCAGCGACATTCTGGTACCCTTGCAGCTGTTCGACAACATTCTCGCAACCAACAGTGTCTTTGAAGAGCATGGCGATGTTGGTGACAGCTCGGTCGCTGCGATCAAATTCTGGGTCGAAATCCTGTGCTTCGAAGATAGACTTTGCTGCGGATTTGTCCTTTGCAATGCGTTTCTGTTGACGGAGCTGCGCATCATTTAGTAAAATATCAATCTCGCCTGCATTACCGAAGTGTGGTCGATTTCGAGCACGCTTCAGTATTTCAAGCGCAACTTCTCGCGCTCGCTCAGTCACCTTGAATGCCTTCGCCTTGACCTTGGCATCGAAGATGCAGGTCAGGTCTTGGTCGTCAAAGTCTTCGAAGATAAAGCCAGAGTCGATTGGAAAGCGACGAGCGAGACCAGGATTGGCGTTTTGCATCATCTCCTCCATCTGCTCCTTGTAGCCCAGTAGGAGCACGCATCGATCATCACCAGGAACGTTCTGCACCTCAGCGACGATCGTGTCGATGACAGCCGTTCTGTAAGGGTCGCCAATGCTGCCTCCACCATACAAGCCGTATGCCTCGTCAATGACAAGCACTTTGCCGACAGCGGCATCCAGAATGCCTTTGGTGTTCGCTTCAGATACGCCAAGGGCCGCTCCGATGAAGTCGGCTGGTTTCTTTAGCACGACTGCTTGTATGTTAGCCAAAGAAGACAAAAGATGCACAACCGGATTTTACGTACCTTCGCCGCTCGACAGCATGCCGATATCAGCCAGTATTTGTCCATATAGCTTTGCCACAGTTGTTTTTCCGGTGCCTGGATTGCCAACGAAGACTTTGTTCAGGCTGAATTCGACCAGTGGCTCTTCAGCTAGCTCTCGCTGGTAGTTGTACTGTATGCTGTCCAGCAGAGCTTGCACCGAGTCTTTGACCATCTTGAGACCGGTGAGCTGAAGTAGCTTGTTCCACGCCTTATTACCGGACAATGCATTTGATGGCTCAGGACCAATCAAGTCTTCCTTGGTGAAGAGCATGTCGTCCGGCAGTGAATCGCCCTTGTGGAGAGATGCTCGTTGTCTCCGAAGGCGCTTCGCCTGTCGTGAGCCTACCTTGGACACAATGTTTTCGACCTCGCGAGCATTGCCAAAGCCTTCCTTTCCGCGGCCTCGTCCAATTCTTCGAGCTACAATACGAGCATAGAGTCCATCCGCTCCGTCCTCGAGCTTCATGCGTCCATCATATCGCTTCCTGAGGTTGTAGTTCATGATCTGGAGCAATTCGTCATCTTCGTAGTCTGCAAATTGCAGAGTCCGCGGGAAGCGGCTGGGTAAGCCTGGATTGTGCTGGAAAAACTTCTCCATCTGCTTGTTGTAGCCCGCCAGGATGAAGACCACTTTGCCCGTTGAATTCTCAACCTCTGGGAGCAACCAATCCAATACTGCACCGCCGCCAAAGCTAGCACCCGATGCCAGCTGATATGCCTCGTCGATGAAAAAAGCACCGCCTCCCTTGTTGAGAAGATCGTCGAGCATCTTCTTGCATCCCTGCACACCTTCACTGGCCAACTTAGCACCAGTGCTTTCGACAAAGTCGTCTCCTGGAAGCGCGCCGACGAGGCAGAGGAACTTGGCGTAGATGCGTGCAACGGTCGTCTTTCCAGTGCCAGGGTTGCCCAAGAGCGCCGCACCGAAGCGTTCCTTCTCAATAGAAAGTCCTTGCCGCACCAAGAGATCTATCTTGGACTTGATCTCAAGAAAGTGTTCTTTGACGTCTTCCAATCCTATCATGTCCATTAAGCTGTCCAATGCCGGATTTCTTGCGCCTTCGAGGGCTTTCTGACGCTTCCACTCTTGCCCAGCCTCAGAGTCCTGCGCAGTAGCTGGGACTGGAGGCGTAGTGGCCACAGGATCAGAGGGACCGGGTTTAGTTGGATTTTGTGCTGCCTGCTGCTTCGCTTCGTCTCGTCGGGCTGCCAGAGCTTTGGCGTTCTCGAGGTCTTTGTAGCGCTGCTGCAGAGTCGAGTTCTGCTCTTCACGTTCGCGCTCGTCCTTGGCAATCTGCCGAATGCGATCAATCTCGTCCTGAACTATGGCCAATTGGGCGGCATACAAGCGCTGATTGGCCTCACGTTGCGCAGCGAGTTCGAGAGCGCGCCGTTGCTGAGCAGCTTTGGCGGCGGCTTCGGCGTCGCAAATGTGGCAAGAGGGCGGGTGCCCGTCCGAGCAGGTCCTGGTAAGCGTATGGCCATGTGGGCACTGTTCTTGGACGACGTGGCTACATTTCATCTTCGTGTGATCAGCTTGCCGATGGCATTTCTGCGTGCACTGGTGGAGACCACAGCTGAGCGTAACTCCACAAGGCGCTGAACAACCTCCGTCTGGGCAGAATCGGTCAAAGTCGTCGGGTGTTTCGAGGAGCATCTGGATGTCTGGATGTTGCTCGCATCTCACCGGGAGACCATCAAGGATGCAGTTATTCTCCGCGAGCTTGCCCAAAAGCTTCGTCCACAGCTCACTTCCTTTCCGGCTTGCCGTGAATGTCGCAGGGTTCCCAATTATGATCAGTGCTTTGCGAGCACGAGAGAGGAGGACGTTGAGCCGCTCCGGAGAAATCATGAAGCCGATGTCCCCATTCGGGTTGCTTCGAGTCAGTGAGACGACAACCACATCACGTTCCTCGCCCTGGTAGTTGTCGATGGTCGAAAGGTGAAGCGGACGCTTGCATTGCGAAGCGCTTGCCGCCGACATCAGTCCAGATCGGACGAGGTCGAAAGAATCCATGTCGTTAAGAATTGGATCGTTGTCCTCAGCAAGCTCTCGACGGAGCAGTCCAAGCTGCCCGAGGTATGGCGTTAAGACGACTTGATCTGCCGTCCCGTAACCTTGCTGTGCCATGTAACGCACGACTTTCTTCGTCAGCTCGGCCTCATACAAGTTTTGCTTGCTATTGGCTGCACCCTGGTCACGGCGGTCCACAATCTGGGTGTTTAGCTCTTGTTTCTCGTGCTTGATGAACACCACACGCTTCAGGAGCCCACGCAGAGCGTCGCGATTCTTCGTACTAGGAGCATCAACAAGTTCCGGATATGTGAGATGGCGCACGAGGTCGGAGATCTCCGGGCACATGCGATGTTGCTGCTTCAAGGTCGTGTGCGGATAGTCAGAGAGGACTAGGCGCTCGAATAGCGAGCGGTTAAGATCGTACCCATCCCCTTTCTCGACGGTCAGATTGTAGTTGTTCACTTTAGGCCGAAGCTGCTGGTGATCGCCAATCAGGATCAGCTGTTTCGTGCTGGGAGTCATGGCAGTAAGGATGTGGCTCTCGAGAATCTCCCCGGCTTCTTCAACGAGAATGATTCCAGGCGCCGCGCTTTGGAGCTGATCGGTGTACAAGGCTGCTGCTGTGGTGGTACAGGCTACAATACGCTTGGCTTGGATGACGACGTTGTCTTTCTGTGACTGAGCTGCTCGCAGTAAGCCCTGGCTTTCGTCGTAAAGTTTGGCTTTGGCGCAAACAGAGGAGACGGCTTCGGAGAAAATGGCCAGCTCCCACTCGCGTAGCTTTCGAGCACGCGCAGCAGGTTCCATGCTCCAGATTTCGATGTGCCATGGTGAGACCCGCTTTGCAAAGACACCGGCGTCTTGTCCGCCCTTCCACCGATTGAGCAAGTAGAATCTGTCAACCACCTTATTCTTCTTGCCGACTCGGGCAAATCCGTCTTCTTCGTTGGGCGCTTGGAATGCCTCAAAATAGTCATAATCGTCCTCCGAGAATTCGAGATGTTCTAGGAGAGCATCGCCGGAGACTCGGAGGCTGGTGAGCGCGTCTGTAGACGATCCTAGGGCTGCCTCTTGCTCGTCAACCTCTTCATGGAGTCGCTTTATATTGCTCCAGTTCTCTTGCGTTCGCAAGTTTGCGAGCGCTTGATCACGAAGGCTGAGATGCTTTGTTCTCGCGGTCGACTTTGATCCCAGTCGAACCATGGCATTTGACGGTATTCCGATGTCAAGCAAATCTTCCAGAAACTGATCTAGGGCATGGTTGGTGTAACAGATCACCAGTAAGTTTTCGCTGGTATTGCCGTACAGTGCTTTCGCAAGCAAAGCTCCAATGAACGACTTGCCGGTGCCCGGTGGCCCTTGGATAAGTGAGACGCTTTGCCGCAGACCTGCAAGGAGTGATTGAGATTGAGAAGCATCCAGTTTGACCGACTTGGACAGCTGAAGGATCGACCGCAAGTCTTGCTCCGGTGAGGCCGCAATCTGTTCGAGGATTCGAGAAATTTTGCATTCATCAGAGTTTTCATAATGAGCAGCCAGGTCTGTTTCTTCTCCATGCCGAGCAAGGAGCTGCTCCGCTAAAGGTAGCTCCATCTTTGACTGCAGACGGCGGAGCACAGGCTCATAAGCAAATACTGCAGTCTCTATACGAGCGAATTCGACTGTAGTGGACATCGTCAATGCAAGGATTACCTTGTTCAAGTCTCCATTGCCGGGCGTTCTGATTGTGACCAGTGGCGGGTTGTGGAGGAGAAGCTCTTCATTGCGCACGACTGAGCCAAACGCGATAACTTTGCCATTGTCCACAAAGTACCCAAATGACTGATGCTTCAAGAAGTTTGGGTTTGCTCGTAGAAAAGCCTTGCGATCAGTTGCAGATGTGAGTTGACCTAAGCCTCTGCCAGCTGTGATGGCCAGAGTCGCTGACGACCTGCTTCGTCCCATGCTACCGTGGATTTTATTGAAGCGCAGACTTTGCAAGCGTGTCCGGATACGATTGGCATGAGGCTTCTTCTTGCCGGCGGCGATGTCAAGATCATCACGCAGCTCTGCCAAGAAGTCTTCTCTGAGCAGCCTGAACTGGTTGTCTAGATGGTGTCCAGCTCTTTGTTCAAATTCCACTTGATCCAAAGCGTTCGCAGTTTGGTAGAAAGGAAGCTCTCTGCTAGTAAGCTCGTCTTCGGTTGGGTAGATGGCGATCTCACGGAAGTCTTCGAAATCATTGTCATGCCGACCTCCAGGCCCAGCAACGTTCTCTTTCCGACCGGAAGCCTTGACCTGGACGATGTGTTGGATACGGTAGCCGATTGTGCGGAGATCGGCATCGTCTGCATCAATGAAAGTTCTCTTGCTCGAAACGTCGTGAGAGATGGCACTGACATCGATAGGACAGTCGCCGGCCCAGGTGAGTAGCTCTAGGAGAAGCCATGCGAAACGCATAGTTGCTACTTGGGACAGCTGCCCATCTTGGTGTGCCTGCACTAATGCATCCCATAAAGCGGGCGGCGACACTATCTGCAACAAAATCCGCCTCAAAAAGTCTCCATTTGCCAGACGCTTTACTTCAGCGGCGGTGAGGTAGGTCAAGAGGTCTGTGAGAGGCCCGTTGATGAATGCAATCGTAATGTCGAAACGCAGACCTCTTCGAAGAACGTCGAGGCCGGACTTGCTGCATCCTAGTTTTTCAATGCAAGCAGCTCTGTCCTCAATGCTGCAAAGCGCTTGTAATAGCTGCCGCACATCTCTGCTGTCGTTGACGGGTCTCAAGCCTGTCAAGAAGGCGTGTAGCAATTTTTCAAAGCGCTCGCTGCGGGAGTCCGGGGCATTTACCCGTGAACTCTCTGCCATGGTGGCCACTGTGCTGTCTCTCATAGGTGTGCCACAGATGAAGGGAAGATTTTGGTGCCCGTGATACAAAAAATGTTCGCGCGCGTTTGTCGTCAGCGGTGAGCTGTCTTGAGATAAAGACCTGCAGGCGTCCGCCCGCATGTTCCACCGACTTCTAAGCAAGGGACTTGTCTCTCATGCACGATTCTGGGAGGCTCCATGCCGTAATCGGACCAATTCGCAGCAAGCTTTCAGGTGAGGACGCTTATAAGCTTCAGAGCCATCCGACATCTTCATTTTGATGAGCTACACACTGCGCAACATGCAGAGGGGCTACAGAGGCAGAGCAACGCGCGGAGGAGGCAGAGGTCCGTGGCGCGGCGGAAAAGCGTCGCAGGACAGACCTTCGAGGCAGACAACCTCGTCTACTCCATCTCCTCCTCTCGGCGACTTGCTAGAAGCTGTTACACACGAGTCCCTCAATGATGGGCCATATGGTACAATCGAGAGACCAGACATCACGAATTGTCGTTACGTTGCTTCATACAATTGGCTGAAAAGCGATAAACCCTCGGTGGTCGTTCCAGGTCCGTTCCTTACGTGCAGATTGCAGAAGAGGAGAAGTGCGAGAATTGACTTGTTATGAAGGCGCACCACCGCAATGGCACCCACTGGAGGAAGCCCAGAAGCTGCAGGAGGACGCAGGAGAGTATTTTCGCGATATCAATGCCGCGCGGTATCCAGGACACCCCATCGAGCCCGCGGTACGAGCTGTCCTCGCTCAAGAACCCACCCTTACAACTGGTGAGGTCGATATTTTCGCGTGCGGGAGTACGCTTGGTAATTTGCTGCGCTTTGCGCGGAAGAGCGACAAGGGTTTCAGGTTCGTGGCAGAAATGGCTGGCGAGACGGTCTTCTTGAGTCGACGAGAGAATGCTCCAGATGAAAAGTTAATGGATGTCAGAGGCTACGGACACACTTTCCCAGAGGCGTACACCAAACTTGCTCCATGCGTGGCCGACTCGGAATCTCATCAGAGGCTCATCGAATACGACTTGGCCGGATTCCGTTGCATAGTCCGGTATGAAGTGGATGGCTACTTGCCATGTCTGGCGAGCGGCAGTATCAAAACGACAAGCGGCACAAGTCTGCCTGATCTTGAGGGCTTGAGGATGGTGGCAGCTGGGCACATTGTGCCGCAGAAGGCGGTTTTCGACTTGAAGACACGATCCGCACGAAAGAAATTGACTTTGAAAGATGTTCTCGATGCTGAAGTCGACAGGCTCTGGCTCAGACAGATTCCTAACTTCGTTCTGGCTTACCACGAATACGGCGTATTCCACGACGTGGGAGTCCACGATATCCGTGCGGAGGTTGCTAGATTCCAGGTCGAGCATACCACTGAATTGAAGATTTTCTCAGCTGCGATTGCAAAGGTCGTTGCCTACGCGAGAGACCATCCAGAGAAGAGATTTGAGGTGTTCTCTGACAAACCAGGCGTATTGGAGCTTCGCCAGGTGGGTGGCGACTTCCCTCGCGCTTTACCAGACGACCTCAAGAGTCTGTGGGCTGGCAAAACAGGCGACACGGCAGAATTTGACGATCAAGGATCTGAGGTGGCGATTCATTCGGATGCTGAAAGCGGAGCAGAGGCGGAATCTGACGATGACTCTGAACAGAATTTCACGGCCTGCTCGGCAAGCTGTGGATATTGTGGACATTGTAAGTACTGATGGGGAGTGACGGCAACCCAGGTTGTCGGGTATGAGCAGGACTCGGAACATAGCACTTTGAGAAGTGTCTCTGCCGATAACTCGGAAGTTGATCGCTGCACGAGGAGGGCTGCGAGCATGATCAATCTTGGAGGTTCGTGAGATGGGAATTGTACTCCTCATTTGGTCCTTTGAGCAGCAATAGCTTCGAGTGAAAAGTTGCACGATTCGACTGCCGCTCTGTGTGTCTGAAAAGACATACCAGCGTGTTCATCATGTGCAGAGTGTTCAATCGCCTAGGATACTCCGAAATGTCGAAGAGCTCAGCTCCTTCGTTGATTCGAAGCCATCCCCGTCGCAGTTACTCCAGCGTCCAGCGCTTTTCCTTCGCATCGCGAGCCTTGAGATGTCTTCAGCACAAAGCTGAGCAAAAGCAGTTTCATCCGGGCACAGAAGTGGCCAGATTCTGCCATAAGTACTGACTCTCTGGTACTATTGGCAACCGCCGTCGAATGCACGTTCGACTTGAGCCTCCGTGCGTCGGGATACCCAGTCTTTGCCTTGCATGCGACCTTTGAGAACCGCTAAAACCAAACACCAGCCGTGTTGTCGCGCCATGCAAAGACTTGGCACGGTCGGTACGTTGTCGGCAGTGGTGACACGGGTATGATGCTGGAACTCCTCCTCCTGTCTCCATGATGCTCCTCAAGCATCGAGTCTACGCAGTCTCTTCTTAGCCCAAGATTTTGAATTGTACGGCAGACGCTCGAGCTCGTACAGACAGTCCTGCCAATGCGTTGGAGACAGACATCGAAGTCGTTCGGATCGTGGGTTTAAGGACGGCGTAACGGCGTAAGAGGGCGCTCATTGTGGCTGTTGGGCTCCTAGCATTTCTGTTGCGTTTTCTGTTACTGAACTCTGCTTCAAGATCAAGAGCTCGCAGAGGAAGAGCTTGGCTGATTTCATTCTCGAAGGCTTGACACTCTTGCAGAAGGAACCTCCTTACTTGTTGTGCACATTGTTGTGCTTGACCTCACACCGTGAGAGGGAAATCGATAGATATCATATAACCAACGTTGCGAAGATTCCAGTCGTCCTGCGGCTTCTCTCAACATCGGGGACACGTACGTACGCACGATTTCTGCAATCCTCTTCGTTCACAAGGAAGCGCGGAAGCCCTGAAAGATTTGGACAGCCGACCACGTGACAAGATACCAAGCCACACCACCGGCCCGACCCCTCGGCCCGACACTCTCCGAAGTTGGCAAGCGAAGTTCGCAAGTTCGCCCTACTTTTTCGGGGCTAGCTCCCGCTGCACGACAAACATGCATTTCTTATGCGCGATGCGCTGGCAGTCCAGGCTAGGAGGAGCAGAAAGGAAAGGTATGATAGTAGGTATGTTTCTGTTTCTCTCCTTTCCTTTCGACAAGCGACGATCGTTTCTTTTCATAACTTACATACGTCAACTTGAATTTACTGCGACGTGTTCTTTTGTTGTTCGCCTGCTCGTCGATGGCAAGCTGCTTCTCTGCCAGGGGTACGGTACCTAGAAACAACACAACAACGCACGTGTCGCACAGAAGAGTCCGAGAGAGAACCTACGACTACGACTACCACCCCACGGTTAGAAAGGGAGAGAAAGAGCACTGCAAGATCGACAATATCGCGTACGTACCCTATGCTACGGTCCATGGATATCATAATATACCGCCGTCTCTCATTCATGTCTTTCGTCACATGATCAGATCTTGAAGCAAGGACGCCTTCACACAAAATAAAAAAAAAAGACTTTGCCGCGTCGCTCAACAACCAGATGCTGCTACAACGATGCGGTCCCGCTCCCTGCTTGGAACATTGCCAAGGCCGGATGATGTCGTGACGAAGGGCAATGTCTCTCAACACACACGCGCACACACGCACACACACAAGGAAATACCATATGATAATTTTTCTTCCCCCCGGTAAAGAAAGCCATTGCTGGCGTGCAGCTACGCGCCGCGATCCTGTGTCCCTTCTATTCCCAGAAAACAACGCTAGGGAAGAACCGAACTGACGTGCCAGATCTTGTTGCTCATTCTCGTCGTAGGCCCATGATCCTCGTGGAAGCTTCGTATAGATGGTTTGGCGGCCGTAATAACGTATCGTGGACAGAAGTAAAGAGTGTGTGAATTGTGGTTGGAGGTTAGTTAGTTCTTGGCTCGGGCAATGAGCCACTGCAAGACCGCATCAAGGTTGGTCTCTTCTTTGGCGCTGATGCCGTAACAGCTCACCTCGCGGCGTGTCACTGACTTCAGGTTGAGCGCAGCGATCAACTCGTCGACTGATGCATGGTTGGGAAGGTCGGACTTGTTACCGAGGACCAAGAGGGGGATGCCTTCCATCGCTGGCTTCTCCAGGAGTATGTGGAGCTCTTCTTTGGCGACAGGCAATGCCTCCTTGTCGGCAGAGTCAACGATGAATCTGGTTGCTGGCATCAGCCAAGTCCGACACCCGACGTCGACAACGAGCCTTACACAATCGCATTCACGCCTCGACAATAACGCTCCCACATTGATCGGAAGCGAGGTTGGCCCCCCAAGTCCCAGCTGCAGCACTATCAGCAATTCGAACACGACCATGCAGACGACATACCACTTCAAGGTCACATGGCCCTTCTGTACTCGCTTCATGTTGAAGCCCACTGTCGGTATCGAGCTGTGGCACAGCGTCAGTTCCAAGACGACGCTCATCGACATACTGGATCTCGGCTAGATCCCTGCCGGTCGCACAGATGCACCCACTCGATCGTGAACTCGCCGCCCTGTAGCACAAAGTCAGCCATCGATGAAAGCATCCGAAACACCGTCGCATCGGGGACTCACCGCCAGGACTCTCAGCAATGATGTTTTGCCGGCGTTCTGGAGACCGATCATGGTGATGTCCATCTCGGTGGCCCTGATGCAGCGTCAATTAGCATGTTTCGACAGCGCTCATCGGCGGAGGCGACCGTCTGCTTGTCGGGATCAAGATGGGGGAGCGGTGAAGCATATGGGCCATCAGGCCCCAAGGCGCCAACATTGTAGAGCACTTCGCACGTGAATGTGGCGAGCCGGTGGTGGTAAAGGCATACCAGAACAGGCTGAGGAGCCAATCATAGATGCGCCTGAAGATGCCAACCATGCTGGCGCTGGCTAGATCGGATGATTTGTGAGGGCCAGTAGCGATCTGGATAGGATAGGAGCAATGAGGCTCAGGCGCAGAGGAGTCGGGTCGCAAGGGAATGCCTGATGTGAGTGGATGAGAGGTTTTCTGCGGATAGCCCCGCTCTCGCCGCCGGGTCGGGAAGTCAAAGTCGGGCTGTGGTGGTGTGGTTTGCCGTTTGCAGAGCAGATCGAGTCGCGGTATGGGCAACGACGAATTTGCAGAGGTCGATCTGTGATGAAGTGAATGTCTCAGATGCTGGCTGGCTGATGCTGGCGCGCGTGGCGCCGAGCGGGAGATGCCTGGCGGCGCAGAGGGCAGTGCATCATTGGTAGATTCCTAGACGCACGGTTACGCCGTTACGGAGCCGAGCAAGGTAGTACGCGGGCGTGCGGTGGTGATTATCATTACGAGATATTACCTCTTTGCTTTGTATAATTCTTCGTGTCTTTTTATATACTAACTCTATATATATCCTCGAGCGTAATATCTGCACTTCTAAGTCTCTAGGCTAATATCAGCTTCCCTCTTTGCTCCCTTATAAGTTGCTATATGCCTTTTTATACCGTGTTTGTACTTAAATATACTAGTATAGTTCTCGTACTTAAAAGGTTTTAGGTTAAAGCCGGCTTCCCTCGTTATTCCTTTGTAACTTGTTATTATATACCTCGTTAGAGTTGCTTTTAACGTAAATGCCTTAGGGCAGTTCTCGTACTTAAAAGGTTTTAGGTTAAAGCCGGCTTCCCTCGTTATTCCTTTGCAACTTATTATTATATGCCTCGTTAGAGTTGCTTTTAACGTAAATACCTTAGGGCAGTTCTCGTACTTAAAAGGTTTTAGGTTAAAGCCGGCTTCCCTTGTTGTTCCTTTACAACTTGTTACTATATAGCTCGCTAGGCTTCCTTTTACCGTAAATGCCTTAAGGCAGTTCTCGTACTTAAAAGATCTTAGGTTAAAATCGGCTTCCCTTTTAATTCCTTTATAACTTGTTATTAGAGCTAAAGAGGTTATACGTAATTAGTATGTAATTAGGCCGAGTAAAGCTAGGGTCTTAGTACCTTAGGCAGGGCTTGGCGCTTAGCGTTAGGCCAACTCTCCTGCCTTCCTCCCTCTCCTTCTAGATCCTTATCGAATACTACCTATACCTACTACTACCCTATCTACCTACTAATATACCCTTCTTATATAGTATTCGATCTACCCTTTAAGGGCAGTAGCTAGATAGTCCTTATTTTAAGCTTTTAGCGGTGTAGCTACGAACAAGACTAATCTAACTATATTGCGCCCGAAGAACGGGACCTATACGTACTATTCTATCGAAACAACCGTACTAATTATTAAGTAAGGCCTTCTATACGGCCTATTACACTAAGTTAAGTATACTAAGCCGATATCTACTAATTCCGCTACATCC